GTTGGTCTATTTCTCTTTGCTAGATTTCTCATGTAGGTTGTTAAACTTTTCATTACCATCTCCAGTTGACTTCGTTCATCTGTTTATTTGAATCCTCTTCGGGATAACTTTTTCCTCCTCAGTCCTATTTTTTTTTTTAAGTATTTATTTATTGTGCAAGTGAGAGAGGGGTGTGAGAGAGCATGTGCATGCCTTAGCTTGAGTGTGGAGGTCAGAGGATAACTTTTCAGGAGTCAGTTCTTTCCTTGTACCTTGTTTTTGACAAAGGTTCTCTCTTGTTTGCTGCTGCTATGCTGTGTGAACTTCCAGCAGATTTTCCTGTCTGCCTCCTGTGTCAACTGTAGTAGTGCTAGGATTATAGCTGTGATCACTATGTTGGGCTTTTTAAAAAAATATTTTATTTATTTATCTGTATGGGTGTATTCCCTGCTTGTGTATAAGTAAACCTATGTTGTGCAATGCCCGTGGAGATCAGAAGAGGGCATCAGATTCTTTGGACCCGGAGTTACAGACAGTTGTTAGCCTTCATGTGGGTGCTGGGACTCAAATCCTGGTCCTCTGCAAGAGCTGCCAGTGCTCTTAATCGCTGAGCCATCTCTCTCAGCCCTGTGTCTGGCGTTTTAACATGGGTTCCAGGGATAAGCACTTTTACCCACTAAGCCATCTTGCTGCCTCTTTGCAGACCTATTTTGTTTTTATTTTGAGTCAGGGTTTTGCTGTTACCCAGGCTGACTTTGAACTTGTTATATAGTCCAGGCAGGCCTTGAATTTATAGCCTTCTTGCCCTTCAGCTTCCAGAGTGCTGGGATTACAAGAGCCACCCATGTGCTGTTCTTTTTTCTTTTTTTTTTTGTCCTTTTGAAGCAGGGTCTCCCCGTAGCCCCAGCTGTCCTGGAACCCACTTTGTAGACCAGGCTGGCCTTGAACTCACAGAGATCCGCCCGCCTCTGCCTCCCAAGTGCTGGGACTACAGGCATGTGCCACCACACCCAGCTCTTTTTTTTTTAAAGCTATATTGCCCATGCTAATGTAGTCCAGGGTGGCCTTGAATTCATGTTCATCCTCATCCTGCTTAGCCTCTTGAGTGCTGGGATTGTAGGTGTGTACCACTGGTACTGGATATAGCCATTTGTCATTTTAAAAACTAAGCTTTTAAAATTTGTGTCTGGTTTTCAAGCATTTTAATCTTTTTTTTTTTTTTTTTTTTTTTTTTGGTCTTTTTGAGTCAGGGTCTCCCTGTAGCCCCAGCTGTCCTGGAACTCACTATGTAGTATGTAGACCAGGCTGGCCTTGAACTCACAGAGATCCACTTGCCTCTGCCTCCCGAGTGCTGGGATTAAAGGTGTACGCCACCATGTCTGGCTTGCATTTTAATATTTTTAGATTGAGCTGTTTAAGTATTATGAACATTTAGAGTAGTTACATTGTCTTTTTTTTTTTTTTTTTTCAGTTTCTTGTGATGTTTGATAATTGTGCATCTGAGCTGGGCTTGGTGGCGCACACCTTTAATCCCAATGCTCAGGAGGCAGAGGCAGGCTGACATGAGTTTGAGGCCAGCCTGGTCTACAGTGAGTTCCAGGCCAGCTGGGGCTACAGGGAGACCTTGCCTCAAAAAAAGACAAATATAAAATTAAATAAAATAATAAATAAATAAATAGATTTGTGCCTCTGTTTGGATTAGTCTCTTCAAAATTTATGTGAGAGCCTTTTTTTCTTTTTGGTAAGTAGCCTGTTTCTTTTTTTGTCATGCTGGGTATTGAACACAGGTCCTTATACTTGGTAAGTACTCTACCACTGTGTTGTACCTCCAGACCCAGAGCTAGTTTTCTTGTTTGTTTGTTTCTCTTTTTTGAAAGTCTTTTTGAGACAGGGTCTCCCTGCAGCCACAGCCGACCTGGAACTCACTATTATGTAGACCAGGCTGGCCTTGAACTCACAGAGATCTGAGTGCTGAGATTAAAAGCATGTGCCACCACACCTGCTTTCAGAACTTTCTTTTCTTGAGGACTCAAGAGAAAACAAACTATAGTAATAGCAACAACACTAAAGCAAGCCAGACATAAATATAATGAATTATAAACAACTACTCCATCAATAGCCATTAAAAAGAAAGTAGTTTTTAAAAAAAGGACTGGAGAGATGGCTTGTTGGTTAAGAGCACATACTGCTCTTTCAGAGGTCCTGAGTTCAATTCCCAGCACCCACATTGGGCAGCTCACAACTGCCTGTAACTCCAGCTCCAGGGGATCTGATGCTATCTTCTGAGTTCTGTGCATATCTGCACACATGTACATAACCCCCCATTATACATCTAATAAAAATAATAAAAGTAAATCATAAAAAGAAAGTGGTAAAAATAATGTATAATAAACTATGAATAGTTCATAAAAGTCTAAGTAATAATAATAAAAGAATGAAGTAAAGAGGAAGTGCAAAGAAAAGGTTAAAAAAAAGCAAGATTAAAAAAGGTAAAAGAATTTGAGAAAGAGGAAAAGAGATGAAAGTACTTGATATCAAAATAAAATATGTAAATAAAATTAAAGCGAAGATAAAACTTTATTTATTTTTTGAGATGGGAGCTCCTTGTAGCTCCAGCTGGCCTGGATGGAACTCACTGTATAGACCAAGTTAACCTTGATCTCACAGAGGTCCACTTGCCTCTGCCTCCCGAGTGCTGGGATTAAAGGTGTGCACCACCATGTCTTTTTTTTCTTTTGGTCTTTTTGAGACAGGGTCTCCCTGTAGCCCCAGTTGTCCTGGAACTCACTATGTTAGACCAGGCTGGCCTTGAACTCACAGAGATCGGCCTTCCCCTGCCTCCTGAATGCTGGGATTAAAGGCGTGCACCACCACGCCTGGCTGATATTCTTAAAAATAAAGAATATATATTACGAAGCATTGTAATAAAAACATTAAAAGTAAAAAAAAAAAATACAGGATTACAGAAACTTCTTTCCTGGTCTTGCCTCTTGTATTAGAATCCTCCAGATTGTTGGGTTGGTGCCTTACTGGCATATACCTGGAATCTATTGTAGTTCCTAATTTTTACCTTTGTACATGCTGGTCTTGTGTGCTGGCTGAGGAGTAGTGAGTCGAGGGGGTGTTGTTAAGAGTCAGGACTTCATTCACTTTATAGTTTTATTTTTTTATTTATTTGAGTGTGGGTGTGGGTATGGGTGTGTGTGTGCAAAAGTGGTATGTGCATACACTGTGTGCCAGGATGTGAATGTAGAGGTCAGAGGAAAACTTGCAGGAGTCAGTTCTCTCCTTCCACAATGTGGGCTCCAGGGATCAAACTCAGGCCATCATGCATGGTGGCAAGGACCCTTACTGGCTATGTTATCTTACCTGCCGTTCCTTCACTTTAAATGCTTTCCTTCTTTGAGTACCCAGAGCCAAAGAGCTTTATGGCCTATAGGCTCGATAAGTTCCCATTAGCATCAGAGGCCACCTAGAAGCAGCAAATATGCATGCTGAGGAGTAAATTCTAAGGATATTGAAAGGTGGAAAAACTAACAGAGCATAGAATTCAGCATTGGAGAGGAATAACCAAGTGAACTGGGCACTGTGCCTGCCAGTGTCAGCTTGTTCAGAAAGCACCCAGCAGTAAACTACCAGGCAGAATGGAGGAAGCTGTAGAAATCAGGTGATCCACCAGATCTGAGTTCAGAGCCCTTTGTCTTGTCTGTAGCAAACCACACATGGCAGACAATTCTGGAGAGACTGAGCAGTCTACCAGCTGCATTTCAGAGCTCTTAGTCTCAGTAGTAATCCACTGGAGGTGGTGCTTCCTCTTCTCTACAGAAGGCAGAGCTACTAGCCATGATGCCCTCCTTAGCCCCAGCTTTCGGCTGTCTAACATTCTCAGTGGGTCTGTATCCATTCTCCCCTGTCCACAACTGCCTTTCGTGACTGTCTCCTTCCCATAAACAGTGGTAGGGTGTTCCCCAGGCTCTTACATTTGGAACTGTTTTCTTGTTTTCAGGTCCGCAGCCTCAGTCTCACACGTTAGGCCCCTTTCAAGGTGGTACCTGGCTTTAGCCCTCTGAGATATGGGGAGTGATGCAGTAGATTTCTTCTCCAGTTCCAGGCCTTCAACACAAGGGGAATCACACCAAATCTCCCCACAGGATTTTAGGCTGTGAGCACTGTGGGTTTCTCCTGTGGAAAGGACTGCCAGTCTGTTGTCACCAAGGCTGACTGGCTTATCTTATAGTTAACTGTTCCAGAGTCACCCTTATCATGAGACAGGGGCTGGAGTTGCAGACTGTTACCTACTATTGTGTGTGGCTTTTCTATTTTTCTGTGCTTTTTTTGTTATTCCTTGATTCCTGATTCATTTTTCTTTGTCTCCTTAAAATATAGCCCTTATTGTCTCGTCTTCTCATTTTATGATGTTACATGGAAGACACTTCTAATCTGCAGTCTTTCCCTGAAATTCCCTTGCTGTTTTTCAGTTAGCATGTTTTCACAGTTTGCCCTTGTATCATGGTATGTGCTAGTACTTTTCTTCTCATAGCTCTACAATATTTCATTGTAATGAAAACAACTTTCCACATAAACAAATTAAACCAATGTAGATTGAAAATATTTGGAAAAAAATTGCAATCCTACTGAATATGTACGTATTTTTTTCTTATTCACCAAACAGCACAGTGTTATATAGCATTTATATTGTGTTAGGTGTCACAAGTAACCTAGAAATGATTTAAGTCTCTTGAAGGCAATGGGTAGGTTAGGGTTAGGGTTATAGAAACACCACCTTTACACCCATCCCCAAAGGTACCAAGAGACAACTGTATGCCACATTTTGTTGATATATATGTCAAGTGGGACTGTTTCTATGTCTCATCTGTTAGGGGTAAAGCTGCTATAACTGTTTATGTATCATTTTTGTCAGGATATAGTTTTTCAGTTCTCTGGCATATTATTAGTCATTTCCTATTGACTGTTTGCTTGTGTGAATTCTCTGGGCTACATCCTTTGCTTTCCTTCCCTAGGAACAGCAAGTTGATGAACTGGTTGAGACTGACCAGCAGGAGCAACTGCCTCTGCCACCATCCCAGGTGATCTAGCTAGGGCTCTCAGCTTTCGCAGGGTCATGACTTGTGCTTTGCCATTCACACCAGCGCACTGGTTGCTGGGGATGGTTTCAGGTAGGAGAAACTTGGCTCAGAGTAGGCAGGTGCGGGTTGTGGTTTGCTATCTCCTCTTCTACTTTGCTTATTTCTACATTCTGTTTGGGGGCCCATTCCTGGGATAGATAGAGGAACATGTGTGGACACCTGGGGTAGGGGATGTGGAATGTGCTATGATGTATGAGAGATGCTTGCTGTAAATCATAGTATTATTGCATGGGGACGTGCCAGCATGGAGATCAGGTAGCTTCCTCTTGTGTTACATGTTTCGTTTCTTTTCTTTGCTCTATCGTGATTTATGCTTTTTTTGGTGTTGCCCTTACCTGGGTCTCATCAGGCATGCCTCTTCTTTGACTGCAGACAGCCCATAGCCTTGAGCTAGAAGCACTGCGCCTGAGCCTGAACAACATGCATACAGCACAACTAGAGCTGACACAGGCCAACCTGCAGAAGGAAAAGGAAACAGCATTGACGGAGCTGCGGGAGATGCTTAATGGCCGGCGAGCACAGGAACTGGCACTGCTGCAGAGCAGACAACAGTGTGAATTGGAGCTGGTACGGGAGCAGCATGTCCGTGAGAAGGAAGCGATGGTGATTCGCTATGGGCAAGAAACAGGTACAGAGCAAATAAAGGACATGGACCTTCCCAGCTGCAGCTGGACTCACGAGGATGTTCTTAGCAGCCCACTGATCTTCCAGATCACTTTTACTGTTTTAAACACATGCTCCTGTTTTTAGCCCTCAGAAGAAAGTTGAGCCATTCAGAGGTTCCTCTGTGTCAACTGTTCCTTGATAGTGTTGGGACTTAGGCCTCCTGTAAGCACAAGGAAACTTGCCTGGGTCTGTGCTGCCTCAGGGCTAGGCTCATGGCTGGGCAGTGCCTAGGCTTGGCACTTCTGTTCATCTTAGATATGACAGTGGTATAGATATTCATGTTGGGTGAAATATACTTTTTTTTGGTGTTTGAGACAGGGTCTCCCCATAGCCCCAACTGTCCTGGATTCACTATGGAGAACAGGCTGGCCTCGAACTCACAGAGATCCGCCTGCCTCTGCGTCCTAAGTGCAGGGATTAAAGGCATGTGCCACCATGCCTGGCCTAAATACACATTTAAAAGAAAAATAATTTATTATTTTATTTTATGTGTATGAGTGTATTGCCTGCATGTGTGTAAGTTCACCCATGTTGTGCAATACCGCAGAGGTCAGAAGAGGGCTTTGGAATCTCCTGGAACTGGAGTGAAGGACGGTTTGTAGCTGCCATGCAGGTGCTGGAAATTGAACCTGGGTCCTCTGCAAGAGCAGTCAGTGCTCCTAACTGCTGAGCCATCTCTCCAGCCCCAAATACATTTTTAAGATAGAGTCTCACTATGTAGCCCTGGCTGGTCTCAAACTCACTATCTTCCTGCCTTTGCCTCCTCAGTGCTAGGATCAGTGTTCTTCATCACCATGTCTGCCCTAGTATATGATTTTATTTATTTTTAGGGGATTTTGTGGTGTATCTTTTGATAAAGTAGTTGCTGCATTTGTGCACTTTTTTTTTTTTTTTAAAGTATCAGCTTTATTGAGAAAGAATTCCCGTGGCATGTAGTCTGTCTGTTTATATAGCAGTTTGGTGGCCTTTGGTCTATCTGCCCAGTTGTGCAGACATCCCCATAGCATTTGTCACTTGGAGAAGGTTTGCTTCTTGCTGGGTGAACTTATTTTCCTGCTTGCCTTTCCAGCTCCCATATGACAAACAGAAGTAACGTTTCTAGCTCTGACTCTGCTGGAAAGCCCCCTCACCTGCCTGACTCTCCACTCACTGTGAGAGAACAGTTTTCTTAATTTTTTGGATGCCTTCCTGTGCTTCTTCATGCAATTCAAACAAATGCATGTTTTTTTCCTCTCTTTTTCAGTATAAGATCTTTTTTTTAGCCTTTTGTGCCCTTTCTTCTTGACACCCCAGTTTGCAGAGGCTCCCTTCTCCCTCTGGGCCCCTGGCTAGGTCTGGGATTGACTGACCTTCTGGAATGCAGCACCTTGTTCTCTAAGGATGGATCCCAGTCCTTTGATGACCCTCAGAGTAGCACTGTGTCTGCTACTCCCTTGAATTGACCCACAACTCTCCCACTGTCACTCTGCTTCTTCAGTCCTGCTCTTCCTTGACCCTCACACCTGGTTTTCACTGGGGTAGGGATGGGACTTCTCAACTCCCAAGGCACTGATGGCACCTGTCTTGGGGATTCTTCTTGCTCGGGTTGGGAGCTGTTGGACCATAGGGCAGCCTCTCATTTCTTGATTTCCAGTGTCTCACCTGGACTGGCACTGCAGTTCTCTTGCCTGAAAGTTCACCCAGGTTTGGAGGTTTCAGTGATATGACCTCCCAGTAGTTGACCTTTACCTATTCTCTTAGGAGGTCCTGGATGGCTGGGATTCTCAGTATCCGTTGTTCGATGTGAATATGTTTTTTACTTGAACTAAACATCTGGTTGTCTTGTCCTCCAACATGCATTCCATGAGTGGCCAGTGGGTGCTAGAGCTGCATGTTTCCTGGGTGATCAGATTGTGGAGAAGGTTGAGATTCTGTGGTCTGAACAACGTGTTATGTTTGTCTTACAGCTGAGCTGAAGGAGAAGTTACGATCAGAAATGGAGAAAAACATGCAGATGATAGAGGTGTGTGATTGATTGGAAATATTCTATGTATACACATTTTTTTTTTCTTTTCTTTCACGTTTCACTGAACTGTCCTTCACCTTGATGCAGACAAAAGCCAGTTCAAGGGAATTGGAATGTGCTAGTCCAGAGCTCTTCTTTGTTTATGTAATTGTATTTTTCAGCAGACTTGTTTTGCTGTTGTGTATTGATTTCTGTAATGCAAAGATTCTCAGCCACCCTTCTACATGGTATTCTAGAACCCTTCTGTATCCTTTTGTAGATTTGTGTCTGGTGAAGGGAGGTGAATTTGGCCAGAGCTGTGGGTTGAGTGGATGCACCTGGATGCCACCAAAGTTGCCATTGGCCCCTGGGTCTTGTAAGAGATGGTTTTATAATCCTTTGAGAGTAGTTATATGATATACCTTACATTCAGAGATTGGGTACCATAGTATTTGTTTTATTTTAAATTAGACTCTGAAGCAAGACTGGGAATCTGAAAGAGAATTATGCTTGGAAAATCTACGGAAAGAATTATCTGCAAAGCACCAGTCAGAAATGGAGGGTTTGCAAAACCAGTTTCAGAAGGAATTGGCAAAACAGAGGGATGAGTTAGAGAAGATTTTTCAAGCCAAACAACAGGCTGAAGGTGAGCATCTGATTAAAGTAAGCACGTCTGGAGGGGCTGACTGTCCTCTGTAAACACTACCTGTAGTTGAACTTGCCTTTCCCACCTTTGCTTTGCAGTGCAAGTTGCTGAGAGCACATGGGTGTCCAGCGGCAGCTGTTGGCCACCTCTCCAACTTTTGTTTCACAAGTCCCATTCATATATCCAATTACTAAATTATTACCAAAATAGTAATATGATGATTCTTACTTTTGATGCTTCAGGTACTGTGTTCTATAGTGATCTTTGTGAGCTGAGACGCTATTGGTGTCTCTGTGCATCTCCCTTTCCTCTGTGAGGAGAGCATGATAATTGCTGAGGTGGTATGCAGATGGAGCCTACTCGGCTTTGCCTCTCTGGCTATGCCCATGGTGTATCACTCTGTCCAGGCATGCATGGATGCCCAGGATGAAGCATGATGGGGACAATACATGTGAATTGTGAACCTGACATGGTGACATGCCAACCAGTGCTGTTGCTGAGGAAGAAAGTATCATCTTGTCATAAACTCGGTGAAATTTGTGCTGCTTTCTAGTTTCCCTGAAGAACCTAGAGGCTCAGCACCAAGTAGCCATTAAGAAGTTACAAGAAGATCTTCAGTCAGAACATTGTCAGTATTTAGAAGATTTGGAATTGAAATTCAGAGAAAAAGAAAAAGAAAAAGAGTTGGAGGTAGGAAAAAGCTTACTTTTGGTTGGGGGAGCATTGTGTATGTGTATGTAACAGGTGCATGCAGCTGTGCATGTACATGTGAAGGCCAGAGGTTGAGGTCAGGTGTCTTCTCTACTTTACTTTTTTTTTTTTTTTTGTCTTTTTGAAGCAGGGTCTCCCTGTAGCCCCAGCTGTCCTGGAACTCACTATGTAGACCAGGCTGGCCTTGAACTCACAGAGATCTGCCTGCCTCTGCCTCCCAAGTGCTGGGACTACAGGCTTGCGCCACCATGCCCAGCTCATCTACCTTACTTTTTGAGACATGATCTTGTATTGAACCTGGAGCCCACTGATTAGCTAGACTGGCTGGCTGGCAAACCCCCAGGGCCCTCCTGTCTCTCTTTGCCCAGTGCTGGGTTACAGTGTGCAACACTACACCCAGCTTTTTTTTCTGTTTCTGTTTTTGAAACTGGGTTTCACTATGTAGTCCTGACTGTCTTGGAACTTGCACTCGCTATGTAATGTAGACTAGGCTGGCCACAAACTCTCCTGCCTCTGCCTCCCAAGTGCTGGGATTACAGGTGTGTACCACCATACCTGGTTTACATCCAGCTTTTTATATGGGTGCTGGGGATCTGAACTCAGATCCTAATGCTTGCTTAGCAGGCCTTTTATATACTGAAAAATCTCCCTGGCTCTAATTATTTGGTTTATTAGAGAAATTCTAAAGGAGTTTGGAGCTGGACCATTTCATATTTTATTATCTGTTGAAATCTCAGTACAAAATTGAAAAGATTTAGTGTTTGGTACATAAGATTTAAAATCTGTGAAGTTCATGAGATAATGTTCAATCTTGAACTCAGAAAATACCTATTCTTTATATGGATTCCTGAGAAATTTCTAAAAATACTGAATACTAGTAGCATAACACCACATTACTCCAGTAAGCAAGAAAGTTTTAAAACAGTGTAATTTTTTCTTTTGCTTATGTTTTTAAGACTTCTTTTCTAGTGAAATAATTAATATTAAATGAGAATATGGTCAGGTCTTACTCAGAGGCTTCAGGTGTTTTTGTTTTGTTTTGTTTTTTTTTGTCTTTTTGAGACAGGGTCTCCCTGTAGCCCCAGCTGCCCTGGAACTCACTATGTAGACCAGGCTGCCTCAAACTCCCAAAGATCTGCCAGCCTCTGCCTCCGTCTCCCAAGTGCTTGGATTAAAGGTTTGCACCACCATGCCCGCCTCAATTGTTGTTTTTAATACCATATCCAAGAATCAGACTATTGTTCAAGCAATTAGGGGAAAAATAAATCAGAAGCTGCAATTAGTAGTGGTGTATGCAGGAAATTACAAACCTGAGACTATCAAGTGTTGAACGCTAAAATCCTTAGGAGGGTTAGGGCTTGTACCCTTCTCATATAGAGGCCAGTCTTGTGTGCTAAACCTACCCTGACCTTATACTCTTCCAGGTTTTCCCTCAATGCTGGGAAGAAAAGGGCCATCTGCACCTTGTGTCATGAGAAGAATGGGCCTATATCACAATCGGTGCTACCCTTGCTGTAAATGAGAGCCCCAAAGGCCTGTTTTTTCCATGTTCTATCCTGGGGCTGGAGTATACAAGGAGATGCTCGGTGAAGCTTTTCCTTCAGCTCAGCCCTCCTGGCCAGGCCTTTTGCCCTGGGCCGGGGCCTCCCTGTTGATTATTAGAAGGATACATCCTTGCTTAGTGAGAAACACTTTGAGGAGGAAACTATAAGAAGAGAAACACATGTTCCTGAAAGGAAGGCAAAAGACTAGCCTCCATGCAGTCAGACGGCATTCTTAATCATGAACTGTTTTTTCCTTTCATTGGTGTGTTGACAAGTCCTTGGGGTGGTGAGGCTGCTAGAAGTGACCACTCAGGCTCCTGCTGGGGGCAGCCATCAGCTGGTCCTGGGGAGCCTTGGTGTAGAAACTAGAGGTGCCTAGCACCGTGACCCAGGACTTCACCTTGGATTTGGTCCTAGTGAGTTAAAGGCATTCTTTAGAGTTCCCGAAATCTGAAGGTTAGATCCACAAGTTGTGCTCTGTAGGTATGTGGACTGTTGACAATGGGATGTAGCAATGTTTGGTATCAAAGATGAGAGGTAGTATACTTCATTAATGTGAAATGAAGGAGCCTTCTTATTTTGTGATAGGTACTGTGGGCTCATGCTGTTTTCTGAGACTTCATGAACATTGAATGGAACTCAGTGTAAGTCTGCCTGGAGTTCCATGAGTGATTTCAAAGTGTGACTCTCATGCTCTAAGTGGGTGCAGACAGTTTCATAGTGAGCACATATGGGTGGTGTGGTGCAGGAATATTACACAGCTGCAACTCAAACCAACAGGTATATAGGCATGTTGTTCCTAGGACATGGCCCAGGCTGAAGGTGCACTGTGAACAAATATGTATATATATATATATATATAATTGCTTTGTTGCCCAGTCTGGCCTGAAACTGCTGGGATCCAGGGATTCTCCTACCTCAGATTCCCAAGTAGTTGGGATGACAGGTGTGCAGCACTACTGGTTGCCTTGGCCTTGCTCTTGCTGCTTTTCTGTGTCAATTGTGAGACCCTAAGGTTCTTTCAGAGATGGGAACAATAGCACAGAGCCTTATATGCACTGCCTTAGGCTCATCAACTTAAGACAGCTTGTAGACATTTTCTTTCTCCACAGTTAGAGAATCTTCAGGCATCCTATGAAGATCTGAAGGTCCAGTCACAAGAAGAAATCAGATGCCTGTGGTCCCAGCTTGAGTCTATGAGAACCAAGAGAGGGGAACTGAACGGTGAGGAATTTTGCATGGGATAATTAGATCCTTCACAGTTAAGCTACTTTTTTTCTTTTTTTTGAGATGGTATAGTTTGAACCCAGAGCCTTACACATTCTTAGTAACAGCTGTAAAACGGAGTCATACCCCAGCCCTAAAACTCTGTGATTTTAATTGTTGGAACCATAGAATTTATTGGTAAACTTGCTTGTTTTACATCTTGAAAGGTGATATGTATTTTGTTTAAGAATGCAGATTTGGGCATCATAGAGATGGCTTAGCAGTTAAGAGTGCTTACTACTCTTGGAGAGAACCCGAGTTTAGTTCCCAACACCAACATGGTAGCTCACAACTGTCTATAACCCCAGTTCCAGGGGATTTGATACACTCTTCTAGCTTCCATGGGCAACAGGCATGCTTGTGGTGTATGTACATGCATGCAGGCAAAATAGTCATACAGACAAAATAAAAATAAATAAATCTTTTTTAAAAATGGAGATTTGTGCAAGGCGTGGTGGTGCAGCACTGTAGACCCAGCACTTGGGAGGCAGAGGCTGGCGGATCTCTGTGAGTTCAAAGCCAGCCTGGTCTACATAATGAGTTCCAGGCCAGCTGAGGCTACAGGAAGACCCTGCTTCAAACATACCAAAAAAAAAAAAAAAAAAAAAAAAAAGGAGTTTTGTATATGGGGAGAGCTTTCATTTTTTTGTCCCTCAGCTGAGCAGTAACCAGATGATACAGACTCTTCTGGTATGAGGTGTCCTTCGTGTGTCAGGTGAAACATTGGGAATACTCAGCTTTATCTGGAGATGCTACTGAGTGATATAGCAGGGTGGTTCTTAGCAGGCAGTGGGACTCTAAAATGGGGCCATTCTGCTTACTAATGTTTGGATCCTGTCAGTTTCCTTAAGGCAGCTGTTGTCAGATTCTTAGCTCCAGCTCAGTTTTGTGAGGTGATAACTTAGTTTCTAGGCTCTGGCAGCTGTGGCTGCTTTTGCTGGAGGCATCTCCAATCTCATATTCCCTTACAGCTCAGCTCCCTCAGTCTCCATTTACCCCTTTTGTATCAAGAAGGTCTCCATAGGTAGATGTGGCCACTCATAAGAGCTGGCAGAGCCATATGCAACCAAGGGAAGAGACAGGCCCAGTTCTGGCCACCAGCATCCAGAGTCACAGGAACATGGAAGTAACCAGCATTCTTTTCCTGGTGTTCATCCTGCAAACTGCCTTTATGACTACTGATTGCCCGAGGGTAAACGTGATTTGGATCAAGGAGCAGTTATAAAGGACCAGAAACAGGGCCATTTAGCAAGTCACCCTTTGTCATGTGGTGGCAAGTGAGGCTTTGTCTCTACCTTTCAGCTTTGAGCTCTGTTCATGGCCAGTATGACAGCCAGCACATCAGTTCGACTTTCCCTTGGGGTCCATCTGTCCCTAGAGGCTTGAGAAAAGATGAACTGGTGAGTCTAGAGGCAGAGCTACTTGTATATACGATCTGGCATGTTCTGCCATGGGCCTTCATCCTGTATCTAAGGACCTAGATAGGGAACTTTGAGCTGAAATCTTCAGGGTTATAACTACTCAGTTCACATTGTTTATTAGTGTTTTCCGTAGGCCAGCAGGCAGCATTCTCTGGTTTACAAACTTACATGTGGTCTATGCTGCTTTTCTGTTGATGTGTAGAAAGTTATCACTTTGGTGGTCTCAAAATATAGTTAAGAGCTCACTGAAAGTTTGAGATATTGTATCTCTGTTCTCTGTTCAGGATCTCCATAGGCGAAATAAGATGTCAGCAGTTAGGCATTGGCTCACTCCATTTCTAAGCTTATTGGGATTATGATATATTTCCTTGTGGCTTGGGCTGTTTCTTTCCATAGCTAGTTGCTCTGACTCTTAGTTGCTCTGGCTATTGTGCACTAACCAGAGAAAATACTTGACTTTTTTTTTTTTTTTTGGTCTTTTTGAGACAGGGTCTCTGCCCCAGCTGGCCTGAAACTCACTATGTAGACCAGACTGGCCTTGAGCTCACAAAGATCTACCTGCCTCTGCCTCCCAAGTGCTGGGACTACAGGTGTGCGCCACCACGCCCGGCTAACACTGACTTTTTAAGGGGCTCTTGAGATACTGGGTGAGCCACGGTATGTGTGCGGGTCTTCATCTACTCACAGGTTTTGGGATTGGGCCCTTTGTGGACTTGACTCAGGGATCTTCCTGTCTCCTGATTTTTGTTTCACTCTGAGGTGGTTGTGTTTCATCCGGCTGAAGGGTCATGGGAGCCACTCCTAGCCCAAGAATCTCACCTGGATGAGCTAGAGCATCTGCGGTTGGACTTTGCCCAGCAGCAACAGCAAGAGAGAGCCCTGCACGAATCAGAACTGGAGCACCTGAGGGTCTATTTTGAGAAGAAGTTGAAGGATGCTGAGAAGACATACCAGGAAGACCTGACTCTGTTCCAGCAAAGATTGCAGGAGGCAAGGGAGGATTCTCCCCTGGAGTCTGCAGAAACCAGGTAAAGGAAACATTGTTTATGTTCAATGGATTTCTGAAATGGGGGGACCTTGGGCTGAGCTTGTATCTCTCTTGCTTATGATCTTATGCCAATGGGGCCCAGTAGAGCTGTTTTAGAACCACACTTCATGGCCTGGACTTGAAACAAAGACAGTGTGAACACTAAAACCTAGTGTGTTTGTTAGCTGTGTATTATCAGCATGTGGCTTCTGTGGTAGCAAGGGACTTCCCTGTGACTCATTTTCACTCTGCTGTGTCATGATTCTGGTTAAGCAGTGTATAGACCTAGCATCATCTAGTCCTCCTTAACACAGATCCTTACCTTGTGTGGTTGGGCTTGGGGACAGAGATAGGCATGGTGGCAAGAAAAGAGTGCACTAAAGCTTTTAATGTCTTTTCTCTCCTTAGTTCATCCTGTGTATTTCCAGAAGAGACATCTGTCAGAGAAAGAAAGGAACAACCTGATCAACTTGATTTTCAACTTGAACAGCCAAAGGTGATAGGCTTTTTTTAATCACTGAGACAAGGTTGAGCGTCGTTCGTCTTTAATTTAGAAATGGGCTGTCTTTTATGTCATAAAATCTGCTTTTCTGTCCTTGTTGACTCATCACTCAGAGGGAAATTTTTCCATTTTGGAAACACCTCTCTGACTTGTCATCCTAGCTTATCTGAGGATTAAAGACAAAGTCAAGAGAGGCTGTTGTGCCGTTCTTTCCCCTAGTCCTGTGTTCTAATTTGGTTTCTGACCAAAAGCATCTTGGAAAGGAAAGGGTTTATTTCATCCTACACTTTGTAGTCCGCCATCAAGGGAAACCAAGCCAGGAGGTGGAAGGTAGGAGCTGAAGCAGAGACCACAGAGGAATGCTGCTCACTGGCTTGCTTTCCTTGGCTTGCTCAGCTACCTTCCTTATACAGTCACCACCCACAGTGGGCTGGGTTTTCCTGCATCATTTAGCAATTGAGAAAATGTCCCATAGATATGTCCATAGTCTAATCCAAAGGAGATAATTCCTCAATTGAGGTTCCCTCTTCCCAGGTGTGTCAAGCTGACAACTGAAGCTAACTATCACATCCTGCTTGCTTGCACTCTTGCTGTTTTTCCCAGCTGTCATCGAGGCTTCCTCTGCCATACTGCATACCTGTCAGCCTGGAACTTTGACATTCTGGCAGGTGTGAAACCACATTTTTTTGTTTTGTTACTTATTTTACATCTATTTATCCATATTGTGTGTGTACGTGTGCATGTGTATGTGTGCGTGTGTGTGCTTGCACATGTGTACCACAGCATATGTGAAGATCAGAGGACAATTTGTGTGCATTGGCTCTCTATTTCCATCTCATGGGTCCCAGGGATTGAACCTAGGTCATCAGGCCTGGTAACAGGCACCCCTACATGGTGAACCTTTTCACTGGCTCATGAAACTTTTGTTTTAAGTTGTATGTTGAATATCTTTTCATTAGTAGTTATGTTCCTTTGAATTGTCTCCGTGCTTTTGATTTCTGTTGTTTTGAACATTTGTGGAATAGCAATGTCCAAACAGCTTTTTGAGATTATGGAACCTTCTAGGCCTATGAGGACAGTTCCAGTGGCTACCAGCACATGTGGTTGTTGAGCATTTACATGTGGCTGTACAACTGAGGTTGCTTGATGGTTATTTCCTAGAAATACCAGCAGCCCCAGTCTTAGCCATCCTAGGCAATGTGGCATTTAACACAGCCCATGTCTTGACTGCAGGTGTGCTCTGTCAGCATTGACTTTTGGTATGAATGGCTCATATTTGTAAGCTTGTATTAATTGGCTTGGGTCTGCTATGACAAGACTCAGGGCTTAAACAACAGATAGGAACCTTTTTCCATTCTGGAGTTTGAGCACCCAAGCAAGATGTTATAGCCTGGTTCTTTGGCTATAAATCCCTTCTCCAGAGCCATCTTGTCACTAAGCCTTCTTTGGCTTGCAGATGAAGTATTTTTTCCCTGTTTCTGTGTGTATCAGTCATTGTCGTCGTCATCATCATCATCATCGTCATCATCATCATCTCTCCTTCCTTCCTCCTACTCTTTTAGTTCCATCCTGAAATCTGTCAAGTGTTTCCAGTGGGACCTAATAAAAAGAACTTTTGACTTTTCTAATAGTTATTAAATTAAATATTTCCCCAATTGTGGTTTTTAGGCCTTTTTAAACTTTTCTTTTTTAACTTTGTACAATTCAGAGAATTATCTTCCCTAGTTGTACTTTTGGTTTTGACTGAGTATAAATATAAAGAGAAGCAGCAGATATATAGCAAACATCATCAAATTGATGTTTATAGCAGTAGAAACCAGCTAAGAAAACCCTGTTAAAACTGATGCTAACTGGGGATTTTTTTTCCTAGGCAGAGGGTCTTCATTTTTTCCTCCATGGACTATAAACAGTCTTTTATTTATTTTTTTCCTTTGACCTATCCTGTTCATTTATTATGTAGTTAAATAAATTTTGGCATTCATTATACCTTTGTATTAGTTTGTATTAGTTTCTTTCCACATTGCTGTGACAAAATAGAGCAGCTCGTTAGTTGTTTTTATTATAAACATCTTTGTTTCATGAAATAAATGATAGTAGGTTTTGTTGGAAATAGTTTACCCTTTGGCTGTTTTGTTGTTCTTTTTTATTGTCACAAGGTCAAATGAGCAGTTTGACCCAGGACAGGAGCTTTAGAGGGCATTTTGAGATAAATATGCTTGAGTCTGAAGTGGGAGGGGAAATCCCATCTCCAGAGACAACCTGTCAGTAAATTCAAACAGCACCATTTACTAATATAATGTATATACCAAAGGCATTTGCTTCTCTATGAAAATAAATGTAATAAAAGCTTTCTCTTTGAAGGATCAGAGAAAAGGAAAGGAACCCAGTGTTTTACGATGCACAGGTTTAAGTGTTTTTCTTTAGGGTTAGCAGAACATTTGATTTTGAACTTTCACTCTCAGTTATCTTTGAACTTTATGAGGTTATGGGTGTGTTGTATCCTGCTTTCATGATCAAGCAGGATCAAACTGACAGATGTATATGCTTTTATCAATGTTTAACTTGAGATCTTCTTTGACTAGATTTGGGTTGACCAGCTGCTTGAGAGCTTATCCCCACAACCAGTTTGTGTCTGCAAAGGGAAGTAGACAATCTGAAAAACTTTAATAAGTACCTTTTTCTTATAAAAATATAATTTGAGGGCCTTTTAAAATTTATAGAATATGAGGGGTGTCGTGGCGCACGCCTTTAATCCCAGCACTCGGGAGGCAGAGGCAGGCATATCTCTGTAAGTTCAAGGCCAGCCTGGTCTACATAATGAGTTCCAGGATAGCTGGGGCTACAGGGAGACCCTGTCTCAAAAAGACAATAAATAAATAAATAAATAAATAAATAATAAATGGGGAAACAACATAGTCACAGAAAACCCAAAGAAGTAATTAATTAACAAGATGCCTCTTGGCCAGACTTGAGTTTTGAAAGTTCCCAATTAGCTAAGAAAAATAGGAGTGGTACATGATGCCCAAGGGGAAATAAAAAGGGGAGAAATTCCTCTAATTTTGAATTGTTTGTTTTGTGTTCATTCTCTTATTAGTCCATATTACATATTTTTCCCTAGCCATGCCAATTGGGCAAATAAAACTGTTATATTCTCCTTGGTCGCCAAACTGTTTAACTTGCTTAAAGATTTTTGCATATTTCTGGGGCTGGAGGTATGGCTAGTGGTTAAAAGCACTGGATGCTCTTGCAGAGGACCCAAGTTCAATTCCCAGCACCCACATGGCAGCTAACAACCATCTGTAACTCCAGTTCCAGGGGATCCAGTGCCCTCATCTGACCTCTGTAGGCATTGCATGAAACAGGTGCAGTTAGACACATGCAGGCAATATACTCATACATATAAAATAAAAATTTTTTTAATTTTTTGTGCATTTTTGAGTACTTGTCATTGGCCCCTTTCATTTTGATCTAGGTAAATGAGATAAGCACAGATGGGCAAGATAAGACACTAGCAAAATTCCACTGTTAATTAGTGAAGAGTATGATTTTCTCCAGCTGCCAGAGAGTAACTCTTAATGTCTTTGACCTTTGCTCCAGCAGATGCTTGCTAGTGCAAGGTTTTGGACAGAATTATCTGAAAAAAAAAAAAAAAAAACTCCCTTGCTTCTGAAGCATAGACATCAGAGCCAAAATCCAAAGACAGAACTCTATGTCAAAGAAAAGGAGAAACAAAATCATCAGCCACCTTAATTTTTATATATAATTTTTTGTCAACAAACTCATTGCTGCATATAGCCTCTGACATCCATTGATCCTCTGTCCATTCACCCCCCGTAGGAACAAAGGCAACCTTTTACTCCATGCCCCAGTCCTGGGCTATAGAGAGCCAAAATCCAAAGACAGAACTCTATGTCAAAGAAAAGGAGAAACAAAATCATCAGCCACCTTAATTTTTATATATAATTTTTTGTCAACAAACTCATTGCTGCATATAGCCTCTGACATCCATTGATCCTCTGTCCATTCACCCCCCGTAGGAACAAAGGCAACCTTTTACTCCATGCCCCAGTCCTGGGCTATAGACACTATAGTCTGTCTTGTACTCCGTTTAGATGGCACATTCAGTGCAGCCCAACAAGAGCTCAGACTATAGCTGCTTCTAACGAGGCTGGACAAAAGTGGGTCTTCCCAGGGAGGCCAGCACTCCACTGTCACCTTAGACTCGGTTGCCCCTGCCTCCCTGCCTCTTGCCACCCCGTTTCCTGCCACCCCGTCACACCTGCATTGGCAGCTACTGTTCTCCTCTCCTTGCACATGAAACACAGGTGAAGCCTTGGCCATGTCCTCCGGCCTTCCAGCCAAGCCATCATTCTTCCTCCCAGCAAGTCAATACTCCTCATTTTGTTTTGATTATTATCTGCAGTGCTTTCTTTCTGTCATTAGCCACTACACTTGGAAAGACCTAAGACCCTGAGCAGCCATTGTTTTTTTTATTATTTATTTATTTATTTATTTATTTTTGGTCTTTTTGAGACAGGGTCTCCCTGTAACCCCAGCTGTCCTGGAACTCACTATGTCAATGCCCGCGGAGGTCAGAAGAGGCTGTCGGATCCCTTGGGACTGGAGTTACGGAAAGTTGTAGCTGACATATGGGTGCTGGGATTCGAACCCGGGTCTTCTGCAAGAACAACCAGTGTTCTTAACCTCTGAGCCATCTCTCCAGCCCCAGCCATTTTTTTTTAATAGAACCTCATCTCCCTTTTTCTGTCCTTTTTGTTTACGTTTATGTAGCACCTGTAACCCTCTGGTCTGTGTTCAGTGCCCTGAATCATTGTGGAACTGTGGTTTTGTCTCATTTACATGAGATTACTCAGGCAGTTGTAGGACTTTGAAGGTTGATCAGACCTTCTTTCCACCTGTTGGGTGGGCTCCAAAACCATTTTTTTTTTTTACCTGATGGCACTTTCCTGAATTGGTTCCTGTGCCCACCAATCTGCTATACTTCTGAAATCTAACCTCCCTACATACTGGGAGGGCAAGTCTCCCATAGATCAAGAAGTCTTGATACCCAGGTGAATTGCAATTCCCAGCGCTCTGTGGAACTAGCACCCCAGTAACAAAGGAGGTGCAACTCACCATCTCCAATATCCAAATGAGCCCCCAAATATCGCAGGCTCAGAATGGTGGAGAACAAAGGTTCTCAAAGGCTAAAATAAACAGGAAGCAATTCTTTGTACAGTGTATTTGATACAGTGACCCAGAGAGAGAATTTCTCTAAAGCAGGGCCCTGAACAAAGGAAAGCTTAACCTTTTACACCCACCCGCAGTTCAGTATCTTTGTCCCCCATTCATGGTAACATACACACACACACACACACACACACACACACACACACACATGATTGGGTGCTCTGTGCTTTAACATCCTGACATGAAGAACTATGTATGTGCACTCAGAACAGACCATGTTGCATTTCTTTTTCTTTGTTCTGGGGCAGTTCACATATGAACTTGGGAGGGGGACACAGCTCAATCCATCACAGATTTTTTTTTCTGGCTCTTGAGAGCTTACCCATATGTCTGTGAATCCAACTTTTCCCTGCTCTTTTTTCACACTCAGGGGAGTGTGACAGAGCTCCCCTGTGTTTCTACCTTCTCCGCTGTTGGTATAGCTACATCCTGTTGCTCTTGGGATCCTTTGTTAGTTCCCTGGGGTATGAGAACCTCACAGCCTGAAGGTGCTTATTTTTCATGCTAGAAATAAAGTGAGGTCTTTGACTTTCAGGTTCTCCTTTCATTTGTGTTTTCTCTACTTGAACTATCCATTGACCTTTGGGTTTTCTCTCATTTATAGCTCTTGTGAGATTCATGGTCAACTTCCACAATGAAGCCCAATGTTCTTATGTTTTTCATCTTACAGCTCTTTGGGTTCTGTTTTCTGCGTGGGAAGTTTTCTCTACTTCTACCTCTTTGCCCATTTTGCTTCTGTGGTCTTTGCTCCTTCTTCTGGTTTGAATAATCTTCAGCACTTCACCTTTGGGTTCTGGTGGGGGCTTTTTTTTTTTTTTTTTTTTTTTTGAGACAGGGTCTCCCTGTAGCCCCAGCTGTCCTGGAACTCACTATGTAGACCAGGCTGGTCTTGAACTCACAAAGATCTGCCTGCCTCTGCCTCCCAAGTGCTGGAATTCAAGGCTTGCACCATCACGCCTGGCTGTGGGGGCTATTTTTGTGCTTTTGCTCATTGGGCCTAACAGTTTCTTTCTTTGGAGTGGGCCAAGGGGTCCTAGATGACTTCACCCTGTTCTCTCCCGTTCCTTGTCCCTCTGTCCACCTTCAGGGAGACAGCATTGCCTTGTACTTACTGTCACAGTAATCTGTCTCATCATTACACTGATGCTGGTTTCTATAACAATGAGAAACTAAGTCTTGATTTAAAAGCCAATTTGTGCTCATTAGAAGCTTGAAGTTTAGGGTGATGTGACTCTTCTGGTTTTGAGGAAAATGGATTTAATGGCTGCATTTTCAGACTATGCTGATCTATCTAGTCATTATGTTGCAAGAGTGCTCTGAGCCTGCAGAAGGCAGAGCCTGTTCTCACGGCTGGGACTTGGCAACAACTATAGATCCACTTGTGCTTCATCCTCTCTGTAGGAGCCACATCTGAGCAAGTCCAGGATCAGGCTCTGGCAGGGATGTGCACAGGGAGAGAGGATACCATAGCAGTTAGAATCAGGAGATACAGAAACCTATAATACCTCCATGTGACTCATGGTATGGTTGAAGTGATAGAGATAGTGGGCAGAGGTCTTAGGCCAGAGCAGGGTCTTCTGAGAGATGGGGCTGCTGATTTGAGTCTGAGAGATTGACACCACAATGGGACCTGATGCTCAAGAGGTTATGGGTGAAATGCCTGTAAGGACAAAAGAGTAGCTGAATTGGTGAGCAGAGTTTTGGACAGGCAAGCTGACCCTGGGAGAGTTTAAGAGAGTCCTAGGCTTGATATATTAGGCTGGATACAGGAAAGATCCTGCAGGGGGAGGATAGGGCACAATTGAACTTTAAGAGCAAGGAAAGAGCTGCCAACAATGGATGGTAGAGTGGATATCAGCAAAGGAGCCTGTCAGGTACTGTCAGCACCCATCTGTGATGAGCATTCATGGGCAGGGTGGCTTTTGCTTGCTGCCATGGTCACTTGTGCATGTCTTCAGGCTACAGCTCTTGCTTCTGTGGGTTCTCTAGTCTGGTCTGGATAGTGGTGGACAGGAAGAGGTGTTGTGGGCATGCCTGTGTGAGGATTAGCTGTTTGGTCTAGTGAATCTAGCCAGGCTTATGTGTTTCCTTAGAGTACAGCAGGAAACGCCCCAAGGGTGATAACAGAGAATGAAGTGACCAGTCTCAATGGACACATCTGACCTGTGTGATTTCCCCCCCCCCCCAGGACAACCTGGCATGTTTACAAACAGGACTGGAAGAAGACCCCATGTACAAAACAGAAGCACTGAGCTCTTCCCTCAATTTCCAACTCAACGATGAAAAATCAGACAGTTGCTACTTGAGGCCTGAAGAGGTAGAACGGGAGAGGCTCCCACTTGTACTTTCAGACCAGCATAGCCAAGGTTTGTGTCCCCTCCTGGCTTTTTTTTTCCCTACCAGGTTGTAAGCTTAGCCTGTGGGGATGTTCTGGAAAAGGCTGGTACCTTAGTCATAATTTATATCCATGGAATACCTGGACACCTGATGATTTCTTTTCAAACTGGTGGTGTCCCCTTAAGGACCATAAGCTTCCTGTAGTATAACAAAAATTCTTGCTCTGAGGAATCACCTCTGAATGAGTGCTATTATACGGTGGTTTGAGTTAGAGAGGGCTGCCTTAGGGGAGAGTACATGCTATTAGCTTGCCCTGCCTGCAAGTGGTTTTCTCTGGGCTGGGTTGGGGCTGATGGCACTCTGGGCATTGGAATTGACTTCTCTCTTTCAAGATGAGACTTGAAGAAACAGCATGTAGCACCAGTGGTAACTGCTCATCTATGGGAGATGATATTACGTGGACTCTGCTCTGCTTCTTCAGACCAAGCCCAATGACTCAGCTAATCAGGCCAAGGCTGTAAGGGAGCATGAGGGAAGGGTTATTGAATGGTTCAGAGGTGGTAGGATGGAAAAACTCTGGTTAGCTAAAAGATATGGGCCCATAGGCCTGTATGATAGTCACTCTCAGTGATTCTAGAAGTGGGCAGCTGATGCCAGCCTTGTGTGAAACATGGTAACAGAGTGTCTCCATCTCTGCTCAGTCTTCCTGGGTATGGTGTTCATCTGTGGTGGAAGTAAGGAGACCATGTTGAGGGCCCCACCTCGAGAAGTGGTGAGATCAAGCTCTACATTGCTATTACAGCATGAAAGCTTGTCTTGTCCTAGAGCTCACTCAGAACTGGACAAGGCAGTCTGGGAGGCACATAGTCCCACTTGAGAGCCAGAGACCAACATGTAGGTGCCTCTTACTGTTAGCCTTCCTACACCAGGGACCTCCATAGCTATCTATGATATGTTCTGTTATTTATACTGCTGTGCTCTATGCAGTCCCTGTGGCATGACTTGTTCTTGCTCCAAACACAGGGCTTGTGCCTTTGTTTCCTTCTTCTGTAGAGGGAGATCCAGACCTGATGGAGAGGAGGCAGTTGCCCATCTAGCCCCTTGGTGTCTCAACTCAGGCTCAGTCCTTATGCTGAGACCTTGAACAACATGTGCCTACTCCTGCACATCTGATGATGGGTACAGGGCTCATCCTGGGTGGCCAGCAGCAGTTTGCATGTCACACCTCACTTGAAGGAGCAGCCTGGTCTGGCTGGGCATGTACTGTATAGACCCTAGGGCACATTTACTACTCAGGGCAGGCTAGGGCTATATTATGCAACGGGGAGGCTGAAAGACCTGGTTTCACTCTTACTCCAAATCAACACTAAATGTTCAAAGAATGTTCCATTCTGTTGGTGCTGCCTGTGGATGAACCACAGTGAATGATGGTCTTTTTTTTTCTCCTTTATTCCTCAGAGCTTGTACAGGTTCATCTCCAGGGTTTACAGGACATGTCTTTGGAGATAGATGCACTGGTGGCTGCCAGAATCCTGTGTTTGGAAGCTGAACACAAAGTTAAACTTTCACTTCTTCAAACTGAACTCAAGGAAGAAATTGAACTCTTAAAAATAGAAAACAGAAATTTACACGAGAAATTGCAGCACGAGACCCGTCTGAAAGAGGACCTGGAAAGCGTGAGTAGTGACCCTCAGCAGCTAAAGCTCTACAGTTCCTTACAGAAGGCTTGTGGTCTCTTTGTGCACAGGCAGATTCTGAGGGCATCCTGAAACCAAGCATGGCATGGTTGTAGAAATGTTGGTCCACCAGATCCTTGCAATAAAAATGTGAGTAGGTTTCATCATGGTCTGTCACTCTAGGCCAGAGTCAGAGTTTGGCTCTTCCTTAGGAAAATGTTGAATACCCTCAGGAGCTCCAAGGAGAGGCACTAGATAATCTTCTGATCTTCATGTCATTGTCTCATTATTTACACATTCTTCAAATCTGTTCTAGTGATTGTTCAGCTGCCATGGAAAATTCAGACACTGAGCCCCTTTGTGAGCTTGGGAAAAGTCTTACCTTATGCCATACCATTATAAACGTGGACAGAATGGTAAATGTCAGCCTCCTCAAAGTAAAGAAGGTGCTTCATTATGCACCTAGTGCAGTTCAAAGTCTTTTCACAGTGTTGGAATAATAGAATTAAAGTGAACTGGTATTTCTTTGTATTTTGCCACATCTGTGTTTGACTAAACCATAGTTTTCATGTTATGCATGTGACCATGTCTAATACATGTCTTTCATACTTTCTGCCCTCCTGCCTGTGTTCTTCTCTGTGAATGGCTTTGTTGATTTTTGTTGTTCTTTTTGTTTGTTTGAGACAAGGTCTCACTATGTAACCCTGACTAGCTGGCCTGGAACTCACAGAGGTCTGTCTCTTGAGTGAAGGGATTAAAGGGGTATGCTACCACACCTGGCTCCACTTTGTGGACTTTCATTCTGTAACAGAATAGAATTTTAGAGCAATCTCTTTCTGCTTAAAGTTTGATCACCAAGTTGCCTTTTAAATTAAGGCATTGGTTAGGACTTTGAGTAACATAGAGGTAGAATTAAGAATGGAGCCTTGTGAAAAGCTGTGTGAATCACCTGCCCAGGTTGGCAGTGTGTGTGCTAGCAGTCTGTAGTCTATGGCATGTGACCTTTTCAGGCACTGTTGACTGAAGATAGGTAATAGATGTGTGTTTCAAATGCCACATTTTTATCTGATGAATTAGTTTGGGAAAGGAGTGTGTGACTGGGTATGGTGCGCACGACTGAACCCAGCACTTGGGAGGCAGAGGCAGGCAGATCTCTGTGAGTTTGAGGCCAGCCTGGTCTACATAGCGAGTTTCAGGCCAGCTTGGGCTGCAAGGATACCCTGTCTCAAAAAGACCAAAAATACTCCCCCAGCCTCATTTACCCTCCCATCTCCCCTGCCCATCTCTCCTCCTAGCCTGGGTCCTGTCCCATTCCTTGTCTTGGCACGCTAGACACTGGGGGACCACCACTGCTTCCTGATCCCTTGCATCCAGACCAACCCAGTTGCTTATTGGGTCCCCAGGAGCACTCTGGGCCTGGCCCTGCCCTCACCTCCCTCTGCTTCCCTGGGCCTGCCGACCCGCAGGCCTCTCTCTAGGGTAAGTCGAGGTTGTCTGTGCCTTGACTCCCCCAGCCTCATTCACTCTTCCATCTCCCCTGCCTGTCTCTCCTCCTAGCCTGGGTCCTGGCCCATTCCTTGTCTTGGTGCCCCAGGCACCTGGGACCTACCATTGCTTCCTGATCCTTTGCATCCAGACCAACCCAGTTCCTTCTAGGTCCCCAGGAGCACTCTGGGCCTGGCCCTGCCCTCACCTCCCTCTACTTCCCTGGGCCAGCACCACCCACCAGCCTCTTCCGGGGTCATGGGGGCTGACCTTTCCTCTTCCTGATCTTTTGCATCCACACCAACCCAGCTCCTCAGTGCAGTCCCCAGGAGCCCTTGGGGCTGCTTCCCGATCCCATCTGCCTTTTCATCTCTGGGTGGCACAGCCACCAGCTGCCCTAGACCAAAATCTTTTCTGGGCCCAGCTCCCAGGCCAGTCCAACTCCCAAATTCCTGAGGCCAAAATCTTTCCTGGAGGGATCCAGACCTTAGGAGAAAGCCTGAGAGCATCTGATCCTCATCTGACTTGGGCTTCTGTGGGAACTCCTGAAGACAAAAGCAATCTGGCCACTCCAGTATAAAATCGAAAGAGGGAACCAGAAGCTTAGAGGAACCAGCTTTTCATGCCCGAAAAGTAAACCACAAAGATACCATAAAGTTTACAAAAAGAAGCAGACCTAAACTTGAAGGCTTGAGTCTCACACAAGAATCAGAAATTACAAAAGAAATTCACATGTCAAAATCACAGAGAAAAAATAATAACTTGAAAAACCAAAATAACATATCCCCACCAAATACCAATAGACCTCTAGAGGAGTACAATGAGAACCCCCTAGAGATAATGCAGGTCATGGAATGCAAAAGAACAGTTATAAATATGGTAAAAGAATTCAGTGAATTTAAAGAACACACAAACAAAGAAATCAAAGAACTGAAGAAAGATAGGGGTAAACTTCTGAATGAATTCAGAAGAGTTAGAAATATTGAAGACTACTCAGGCTGAAATGAAGAAGGAAGTGAAACACTCAGTAAGCCAATTAGAAATGGCAGGAGAAGGCCTCACCAATAGGATGAATGAAATGGGAAACAGATTATCAAGACTGGAAGATAAACTGGATGAACTAGACCACTCAAGCAAAGATTATGAAAAATTTAAGAAATTTCAAGAATGGAACATGCAGAAATTGTGTGTCACCATAAAAAGACCAAACTTACGAGTCATAGGCATATAGGAAGAAGAATCCCAAGATAATGGCATGGACCAGATCTTCAACAGAATCATGGAAGAAAATTTCCCAAAATTAAAGACATGCCCATACAAATACAAGAAGCTTATAGACACCAAACAGACAGGACCAGAAAAGAAACTGTCCACAGCACATCATAGTAAAAACACTAAACATACAAAACAAAGAGACTACTGAAAACTGCAAAAGAGAAACAACAAGTCACATATAAAGGAAAACCATTAGGATTACAGCTGACTTTTCATTGCAAACTATGAAAGCCAGAAGAGCCTGGACCAAAGTATTCCCTGTTTTAAATGACCACAGATGACTATACCCAGCCAAAATGTCTGTTATAGTCGAAGGGGTAAGAAAACTCTTCCATGACATAAACAGGCTGAAGGAATTCACAAAAATCAGCCCTTCAGAGAGTTCTGGAAGCAATACAAAGAGCTGAAGAAAGGAATGACTATACCCAAGGGACCGCGGAAAGAAATCGAATGAAGGTATAACTGTGGAAAAGTACAGTTATATCAAGAAATGTAAACAGAAATAAAAATGACAGGATTCAATACTCATCTTTCATTAATAACTTTAAATATTAACAGACTGAACTCCCC